CTTTAAAACCGAATGCACGCCTGCAATGGATGTAATGTACTGATACACCTTCTCCCTACAGTTTACGTTCACTTAAGACGTAATCAACTGTGTTTACATGAAAATAATTCGACATCATTTTGTGTGTAATTCTCCATTCATGCGTCGTGAAAGAGTACTCGTGCGCTGTGAGACACGCGCTTGTGTGTAGGCCTATAGTGTCTGCGCTCAGAAAACCGAATTGAGTTCTCTCTCTTGCTTCGCCATATGTCTGCTCTTCTCTTACTCCCACATATTGACATTTTTTGAACGTTTTATGCAATGTGCAGCAAATGTATTTTAGCTTATGTTCCTCCGGTTCATATGTACGCATCTAACCTCCGAACCAAGCAGCAGATTCGTTCTGAATGAATCTCATCCCAAATCGTCCCTCCCTAAAATTTTCGTCTCGTTTTTATTCATTGACAAAAATGTCAATAGATTTATGTCATAGTTTTTGTAATTCAAAAAGAGTTTAGTTCGTTATCGTCTCGTCGGAAATGTCGTTGACGACAATTATGACGAAAATTATTCGTCAACGAAATTATCACTGGTACATTATAAGAACCACTACGCTTATGGAATGTCCCTATAATATTAGAAATACCTGTGTGTGTGTGTGTGTACTGGTATATACAGTGGTGTGAAAAAGTGTTGGCCCCCATCCTGATTTCTTATTTTTTTGCATGTTTTTCACACTTTAATGTTTCAGATCATCAAACAAATTTAAATATTAGTAACAGATAACACAACATGCAGTTTTTAAAAGAAGGTTTTTATTATTAAGGGAAAACAAAATCCAAAACTACATGGCCCTGTGTGAAAAGTGTTTGCCCCCTAAACCTAATAACTGGTTGGGCCACCCTTAGCAGCAATAAGCAATAATAATTTAAATTTTTAATTTAAAAACGGCATGTTGTGTTTACTTGTGTTATCTTTGACTAATATTTAAATTTGTTTGATTATCTGAAACATTAAAGTGTGAAAAACATGCACAAAAATAAGAAATCAGGAAGGGGGCCTGCACTTTTTCACACCACTATATATATATGTATATATATATATATATATATATATACATATACAGGTGCATCTCAATAAATTAGAATGTCATGGAAAGTTTACTTTAGTAATTCAACTCAAATTGTGAAACTCGTGTATTAAATAAATTCAATGCACACAGACTGAAGTAGTTTAAGTCTTTGGTTCTTTGAATTGTGATGATTTTGGCTCACATTTCACAAAAACCCACCAATTCCCTATCTCAACAAATTAGAATACTTCATAAGACCAATAAAAAAACATTTTTAGTGAATTGTTGGCCTTCTGGAAAGTATGTTCATTTACTGTACATGTACTCAATACTTGGTTGGGCCTCCTTTTGCAACTGCCAAAAGCACCAAAAGTTGGTTAAATGACCATGGTGTTGACTGATTAAATGACTGGCCAGCAAACTCACCAGACCTGAACCCCATAGAGAATCTATGGGGTATTGTCAAGACGAAAATGAGAATCAAGAGACCAAAAAATGCAGATGAGCTGAAGGCCACTGTCAAAGAAACCTGGGCTTCCATACCACCTCAGCAGTGCCACAGGCTGATTGTCTCCATGACACGCCGCACTGATGCAGTAATTCATGCAAAAGGAGGCCCAACCAAGTATTGAGTACATGTACAGTAAATGAACATACTTTCCAGAAGGCCAACAATTCACAAAAAAAAATGTTTGTATTGGTCTTATGAAGTATTCTAATTTGTTGAGATAGTGATTTGGTGGGTTTTTGTGAAATGTGAGCCAAAATCATCACAATTAAAAGAACCAAAGACTTAAACTACTTCAGTCTGTGTGCATTGAATTTATTTAATACACGAGTTTCACAATTTGAGTTGAATTACTGAAATAAATGAACTTTTCCACGACATTCTAATTTATTGAGATGCACCTGTATATATATATATATATATATGGTTTATGAGGACACAAATGTGTATAATGACTTGTGGACTACAGCATAATCATGGTTGATGAGGACATTTCCTGTGTCCACAAATGCCTTGGAAGCTGGTGCAGGATGGGGACAAGGAAGGCCTCCAGGGCGGAGCAGACAGTTTAAGGTGCCATGGCAGAGCAGGGAGCTCGGGAGGCCACGGCGGTGCAGGTAGCTTGGGGCACCACGGAGGAGCAGGTAGTCCAGGAAGCCATGGCAGTGCAGGCAGTTCAGGAGGCCATGGCAGAGCAGCCTCCGAGGCTGCGACCCCCACCCTGGCCTCTACGGCTGGAGCCCTACTACCCCCCCCAAAAAAAAAACTTGGAGAGGATAATGGGCTCCAATGCCCTCTCTGGGCCAAAAGCAGGGACTGGAGCCCTCCCTGGGCTCAACGGGGGATCAGGAGCCCTCCCTGGGCTGAACTCGGGGGCAGGAGCCCTCCGTGGGCTATACTCGGGGGCTGGAGCCGACACTGGAGCGAGCTCTGGGGCTGCAGCCGACACTGGAGCCAGCTCTGGGGCTGGAGCCGACACTGGAGCTGGAGCCGACGCTAGAGCCAGCTCTGTGGCTGGAGCCCACAGTCTCTTCCTCTGCAGTCTTTTCTTTTGGGCTGAGGAGAGGGAGATGACCAGCGGGCTTGACAGCGGAGAGGCCGGCGAACTTGTCTGGTGAACGGCCGGCGGGCTTGACATCTTGAGATTTGTAAGATGGAAGATCTTTTTTGTGCCCAAACATACACACTACACACTGACTAAAATTCAAAGAGTGAAAAAGCACAATAGGACCCCTTTAAGCAACTTAATTATAATTGGTTTATAAACATTATTTTAAACATTATGCACTTTTTTTTCCACAGAAAAAAATTGTCATGTTTTCTTACTTTGAATAAATGTGCATTAGTAATATTTTGCTTGATGCTCCCTCTTGTGGCCTCAGGAGAGAAGCCAAAAGCTTTTCTTCACCCTAACTGAAATTATGCATTTTAAATTTGAATTTTGATCATATTTAAGTATAAAATTAAAATTGAGTTTTTCAGCCATTTTGACAGCCCTACTTCACAGATCTTTATTGAAAAGGATTTAAACAATATTTTTTCGTACTTTTTCAATTAACCATAAATAATTATTGCATATTGAAACATTTGAGACACTCACGGTTTACAGGCGGCAGATTATAATAACTTAGGACTGTAAAGAGACCTTTCTACTGAAAAAAATAGATCACAGTAGATGTTCAGGGTCTCTGATCATGGTTGAACATGCCATAGTCCTGCTGCAAGGAGACATGAGGACTGCTTATGTGGCCAGAGCAATAAACTGCAATGTCCATAATGTACTGTAAGATATCTATAAAACAGTGCTACAGGGAGACAAGGACAGCTGATCATTCTTGCAATGGCAAACTGTCCCCAGAAACATTTGAGAACTTGCAAGTGCCTTGGTGGAAAAGTGGGGTAATATCTCACAGCAAGAACTGGCAAATCTCCATGTCCATGAGGATGTGATGCACTGTTGTGCTTAAAGCAGCCAATGGCTACACAAGATACTTACTGTAACTTTTGAAATTGACACCTCGGTTTAGGGACTCATCCCATTTGTTCAAACGTTATTAAAACTGACTTTGTAAAAACATTTGCCCGTTAAGATATTTGACCGAAATAAAAGCAGTTGAAAGCAAGGACCTTAGAATTTATATGCCCACAATGACAAGCAACTGGAGAAATACCCACTACTGACGTCAACGTACAATCAACCGTTAGAGGACAAAGAAACTTGTTACCTATGATTTGTTTTACATAACCAGCCTGCGATCACACCTTGACCCAAGCATTTGTAATCAGTACAAAGAGCTCTTAAAAGAATTCAAACTTTGAAACTGATTACATAACCACTGAGAGAATGCCAAAGAAAACTGAAGATGAGGTAAATGTGCCAACAATAGAACGTCACGGGTGAAAGATATTGAACTACTAGTAGACAAGTGTTTCTTCCCCCCCCCCCTTCTAGAAGACATCATATACCTAACATTACTACATCAGTAGACCACACTAAAGCCCTTGCGGATTTAGAGAACCGAAAAAGAACCCAGCAAACACAAACCAAGTTTGAGATATTTATTGTTTTATGAAAAAACAAAATGAAACTATTCATGAATTCTATGACTTCACTTGCTGCAACAGCTTGAACATGCCTCGTGAGAAGCGTTCATTTTGAGTAGTCTGGGAGCGCAGTGGTGCTGTATCCTGAAGGTCAGGCTGCAACACAGACTCATAGCTTGAAGCAAGTTGTACATCACGGTGTTGCTCTAGGGGTTGGGAACCAAAACTGGAAAGAGACCCATAACTTGACTGCTCTGGCATAGAAGGGAGCTGGAATCCAGGCTGAAGGGACACATATTGGCCACTGGGCTGGGCCACAGACTGATAGTGAGCTTGTGCTGACTGGTAGTTGGTTTGGGATGACTGCAGGCCACTGGGCTGGGATACAGGCTGGTATCGGGTCAGTCCTGGTTTTTGGCCACTAGGTTGTTGCATAGACTGGTAGCTAGCGTGTGCCGACTGCAACCCACTAGGCTGTGAGATAGGCTGGTATTGGATCTGTCCTGGTTTTTGGCCATCAGGCCGGGGCACAAACTGGTAACGTCTTTGGGCTGACTGGTAGCTGGTTTGTGCGGACTGCAGGCCACTAGGTTGAGAGAAAGGCTGGTATCGGGTCACTCCTGGTTTTTGGCCACTAGGCTGTTGCGTAGACTGGTAGCTGGTTTGTGCAGACTGTAGGCCATTAGTTTGTGGCACAGACTGGTAGCTAGCGTGTGCCGACTGCAACCCACTAGGCTGTGAGATAGGCTGGTATTGGATCTGTCCTGGTTTTTGGCCATCAGGCCGGGGCACAAACTGGTAACGTGTTTGGGCTGATTGGTAGCTGGTTTGTGCTGACTGCAGTCCACTCGGTTGAGAGACAGGCAGGTATCGGGTCACTCCTGGTTTTTGGACACTAGGCTGTTGCATAGACTGGTAGCTGGCTTGAGCGGACTGCAGGCCACTAGGTTTGGGAACAGACTGGTAGCTGGTTTGTGCTGACTGCAGTCGACGGAGATGGGACAGAGCCTGGTACCTGGTTTGTGCCGACTGCGGGCCACTGGGTTGGGACACAGATTGGTAGTTGGCTTGAGCTGTCAGCAGAGCATTAGGTTGGGGCACAGACTGATAGCTGGCTTGTGCCGACTGCAGGCCACTGGGTTGAGAGACAGGCTGGTATCGGGTCACTCCTGGTTTTTGGACACTAGGCTGTTGCATAGACTGGTAGCTGGCTTGAGCGGACTGCAGGACACTGGGTTGAGAGACAGGCTGGTATCGGGTCAGTTCTGGTTTTTGTCTACTGGGCTGTTTTATGGACTGGTAGCTGGCTTGAGCGTACTGCAGGACACTGGGTTGGGACACGATTTGGTAGCTGGCTTGTGCTGACTGCTGGCCAAGACTTGAACTCAGGATAGGCCTGCCATCAGAAAACAGCTGGGAACCAACTTGAAGTCTACTTCTCTGGGGCTTGACAAAGGATTGGGCATTAGCGAACAGTAGACCACTGGACTGGGAGCCAGTCTGCACTGGTTGCTGGCTATTAGAGGCCACAGACTCCTTACTAGTTTGCACTACAGTTTGATAGTTAAGCAGTGCTGGCTTGGGATCGGATACATCTCCTTGGTCATACCAGCTGGAACTTTGCTGCTTCACATCCTGCATTGGGAGGCCAGCCTCATAGTATCCAGGATAACCTCCACTGCTAAAGCCACCAACTAAAAAAAAAAAAAGAAAAAAACCCCCACATAGACAGTCAGACATCTTGACAAACCCGAATTATAGAACTTATAGATGGGACATTTGACACTGAGGCTCCAAAGCCCATTTTACGCCATTGAAGCAGACTGGTTCGAAAGACTATGCCAAGGCTTGTATCAAATCTCTGCGATCATGTGACCGATGACATTTGAGGCTTCATATGTCAATGAAACACCTGAAGCAATGTGACTTATTTGCATCTTTGGCGTGGCATTATTCATAATGAGAAGTAAAATGCTTGGTGCTCCCTCCCTGCTTCATAGTATCACTTTCATGTGTGTGGACAACGATTCCCAGAATGAAGACAGCTGCCATTGCGGAGTATTGCTTTTGGGTTGAAACTGGGATCAACGAGCTGGGAATCATTTGAAAGTGACTGCTATAATTGCAGCTGACCACTAGATGTCACTGGTAGGCTCTGTCATTGAGGCTTTAAAGCTTTGAATCTTTTTTGGTACAACCAGGAAAAAGCTACACAAGGCTTCATCTGCCCATCTCTAATAGAACTTGACTGAATAAGACTTACCACTTCCAATATGCCCATGGACACAAAATCCAAAAAGTGCTAGAGAAAATCTGCAAAACAAACACTTGTTAAATACTCTGCTTTATAGGGGAAAAAATAAAAAGGACAGAAGCAACAAATTAAACCTTAAGAGTTGGACAGTGGTACCCTCCATGTTCAACAACAAAAACCAGAAACAAAAAAACCTTAACAAATCCAATACAAAATCAGGAGACACATTTATGCCCCCCACAGCACATATTAGTGCTGTTGAACTGGACTTTTTATAGTGCCTGCTACTGCCAATTGTCAGACAATCAGTTGTCATGGGAACATGTAATATACAGTTATTAGGTTCAGGTGTCACAGCCCTCATTACAGGAAAAGCTGACCTTCTATTTCAGACTTATTGAACTGATTTTGTCAAGCATATGTTTGTTTTATAGAATGAATGCATTCAATGAAAAAAAAAAAGATGTTAGCGTTATTTAAAATATATTGTTTTACCAGATTTAATTGCGTATATTACTAGATTTAATAAGACATGTCTATGAAAGAATAATTAATATAATATTCCTATGGAGAGAACTGTGTAGAGCTTCTCCAAACATTGAATATTAAACAACATATAATGAAAATTTGATAATGCTAAAAATCATAAGAAAAATGTAATCAGAACATATGCCTACTTTTAAATGGCTGTCATTAGCGAAATATGTCCCATAATAGTGAGGTTATGCCATTTTAGGAACTCTGGTCATACTTTGTACTCTAAGAAATGAGGTAGCCTATGTAAATTATACATACGTTACACACCAACATTCAACATTCACAGTTTTCATATGCTTGTAGAAACCCTTAGAATAATTTGTATAGCTACTAAGCTATTTCAGTTTATGTTATAATTCATGTTAATTAAAGTACATTAAGTATAGGGATATCTTCTTTTGCAGTAGTTTTAACTTAATTGGTACAATATTTTTTTGTACATTCTACAAAAAAATAAAAAAACAAAAATTTAAAAATTTAATTCAGTTAGATGTTTGCATGTCTCGCTGGAGAAACCTCAAATGATTTCAATGAAATACAAAGACAGCCTCCAGAATCAAGGGACCTCAAACCCAAGGCTATGAAGAGAGAGCCAGCAGCATAAAATAATGTTATGAAATGATAAACATAATATTGTGAAATTACATTTTGTAATCTGCATTCCTATTTAATGAATGTGGAAAACAGATGAACTACCATCATTTCACTTTGTAGCCTGCTCAGTGGGTTTGTTGTGTTTAATATATTCCCTCCAGTAAGATTTATGGTCTGTATAATTTTCATTTTACTGCTAATTCAAATATTTGCCGCTAATTTAAATGCTTTTAAAATACTGTTGTGTCTAGAAGAGGGTCCTGCACGACTGCATAATACATGACACACCTCACGATGTAGTGCCAAATTGTGGCATTTAATGAATGCAATTAATATATTTTACGGTCATTCATTTGTTTAATAGAAAATAATTAAAGTGAAAATCACTTTAGAACTACCACAATCTGTAATATGTATATTTATATTTTTTCTTCTTGTTGGCTGGCTCTGTTCATTGATGATGGATCATTGATTCTCCCTGCTGGTTATTGGTATGTAATGCATCTATAGGCCTACTCCGTTTAGCACAATGGCTGTCATTTCTTTAGTAAACTTACAGATTTTGGAGGGAGTTTTTTTTTTCTTCATATTGGAAATGTTGTCTTCCCACAATTGTTAATAGCAGTGTTTGCAAAGATATTTATAAAATAAATATCTCCATATATGAACATGCAGTGTTCAATATGCTGATGCTGAGCAAACAAGATACTTATTGCATCTTTGATATATATTTATATCATATATACCCCAGCAGTCCCTCAAAAGAACTGAGTTTTAAGTATGAGTCATGTGAAACACAAGTCACAGCACTCAATAAAAGAGCTCAAAAATTTGTAGAACAAGCTAAATGGCATGGTTGCTTTAGCAAGTGTGTTTTTATAGTTTATAGTTTAGTGAAGGTGATAAGTTATTTCAAAACGACATAACATGAAACAGGACACAGAGTGATGAACTTGAGTCAGCAGCAGGAATGAGCAGAGGGGAGGACACAGCTGACTCAGAGACACTCCATGACAAATCTTGTTATTGCTGGAGCGTCTCTTCTGAAAAACTGGTTTCAGCTGTTGGTAGCATAATAGTTAAACATGGTCTCACTCTTGATCATTTTAACTGATTTGATTGTAATGAGGTTTACGTTACTGCTCAAACGTTTTTTGGAGTTTTTTTGAAATTGAGAATCTTAAGATCAGCAAGCAAGCTTTTATTTGAACCATACAGACGAAACTGTAAGATCCATTTTCAGCATCAATTACTCCAGTCTTCAGTGTAGAAACATTTCTTATCACAGTTGAAAATGGCTGTGCTGCTTAATAAATGTGGAAATTGTGATCCAGTGTCTTTTTCGAGATTAACAAAGTTTGAAGGACAGCATTTATTTTTGTAATAGTATAAATGTATTTACTGTCATTTTTGACAAATTGAATGCATCCTTGCAATTTAATTTAAATTAATAAATTAATAAAATAATAAATAAATAAAATCATACCTATCCAAAACTTTTGAACAATGGTGCATATTTAATAAGCATATCTGCAGTGTATTCAGGTCTAAGTTTTTTTTTTTGTCCCACACCTCTGTAAATGTGACATTTTGAAATCTTTGTGTGAGTGTGATGCAATTAATATGAAAAAAGTGAGTTTTTTGTTTGTTTTAAGCTATTTACAGTAGGTAGTTCAATTAGACCTACTTCATTTTTTTGTGCTTAATTAAATTTTTTTTTAAATAATTATATCTCTCCAATAATTTCTCTTTTTCCCACTCCCCCCGTCTGACCGGAAGAGGTGGAGGTACGGGACTGCTTATTTCTAATCATTGGAAATTTAATCCTTTACCATCTCTGCTCATACCTATCCAAAACTTTTGAACAATGGTGCATATTTAATAAGCATATCTGCAGTGTATTCAGGTCTAAGTTTTTTTTTTTGTCCCACACCTCTGTAAATGTGACATTTTGAAATCTTTGTGTGAGTGTGATGCAATTAATATGAAAAAAGTGAGTTTTTTGTTTGTTTTAAGCTATTTACAGTAGGTAGTTCAATTAGACCTACTTCATTTTTTTGTGCTTAATTAAATTTTTTTTTAAATAATTATATCTCTCCAATAATTTCTCTTTTTCCCACTCCCCCCGTCTGACCGGAAGAGGTGGAGGTACGGGACTGCTTATCTCTAATCATTGGAAATTTAATCCTTTACCATCTCTGAGTATCAACAGCTCCTTTGAATCACATTCAGCCACTATTACCCACCCTCTTAAAATGCATTTTATAGTTGTTTATTGACCCACAGGACCACTAGGTAACTTCGTGGAAGAATTAGATGTGCTGCTCTTAACCTTTCCTGAGGATGGTACTCCCCTAGTTATGCTTGGAGATTTCAACATCCACCTAGATAAACCTCAGGCTGCAGACTTCCACACTCTGCTTGCTTCTTTTGATCTCAAGAGAGTGTTAACTATGGCTACTCACAAATAAGCAGTGGTGGAAAGAGTACTGAAAATATGTACTCAAGTACAAGTACTGTTACATTGCTGAAATAATACTCAATTACAAGTAAAAGTACTGGTGTCAAAACAGTTCTTAAGTAAAAGTACAAAGTAATCCTTTCAAAAACTACTCAGGAGTACTAGTTACTAGTTACTTTTTAGCCGGCGATATTTAAAGGGGTCATATGACGTTGCTAAAAAGAACATTATGTTGTGTATTTGGTGTAATGCAATGTTTTTATGTGATTTAAGGTTAAAAAAACTTATTATTTTTCACATAATGTACATTGTTGTTGCTCCTCTATGCCCCGCCTTAGGAGTCGCATCGATTTTTACAAAGATCATCGGTCTGAAAAGTGAGGTGTATGCTGATTGGCCAACTATCCAGTGAGTTGTGATTGGTCGAATACCTCAAGCGTGTGACGGAAATGTTACACCCCTTACCATACTGTGATGCCGTGTGTCCTGGCGCGACGAGACAAAACCAATAAAACCCATTACAAACTAGGCATTTGTTGCATCCAGCAGGGACATAATTACTGATTATAATGACTTTCACTGTATTTTTACGCATTGCGTTGCATCGCGCTGCGTAAACATAAAACCATGTCTGCATTTGTGATCGGAGAAATGACAAACAACAAGCGCTACTCTACACTGCTCAAAATTTGCGCTTGAATTATCAGAGGCAAATTCTTTTAATATGAAAATGTACTTACAGTCTGTGAGTCAGAAGCGCCAGACTGTCCTTGCAATGTTGGAATTGCCCCACTTTATAGAAACAGCCTTTGTGTGTAGACGGCATTGTAGTCTACTCTACCAGGATCAGGAAACAGTCCTCCGTAAAATTCACTGCACACATCTGAATATTTGGGTTGAATTGTTCTGGAACAGTGTTGTAAATACAACCTAACCACTGATTTCTAGTTGAGTCCCCTTTTGGAAGACCAAACACAGTAGTTTCGCTTTCACAACGAAACACAGTTGGCCTGATTTATCAATCTAACGTAGAAACGAGCGCAGATCCGAGCGCACAAATGAGCTTACGACAAGGTTCACATGTGATTCATCAAACATTCGTATGCTGCCAATCTCATCGTACGAATAATCGCACCTTGATAAATCCGGCAGCTGAAATCGATCGCAATTTACTATAAATTCAGGATAGTGATGCCTCACCCCTAGATTTTGTGACATGGAGAAACGTAATCCGGCCAAAAAGAGGAATTTTTCCGATGTAGAAATTGAAGCTTTAACCTCGCAAGTTCAGTCCAACCAACTTGTATTGTTCGGCAGCTTGAAAGGAAGGAAGCCGAAAAAAATGCAGTTTGTAAATTGCTTCCAACCACTTCTATCAAACCTCTACAATTAATCCAAAATGCCGCTGCAAGATTCATCTTTAATGAGCCAAAAAGAACGCACGTCACACCTCTGTTTATCAATTTGCACTGGCTACCAGTAGCTGCTCGCATAAAATTCAAGGCATTAGTGCTTGCCTACAAAACCACCACTGGCTCTGCACCCCTTTACCTAAATTCATTACTTCAGAGTTATGTGCC